GTCTAGACTAAAAACATAAAACCCTACTTTACTTGTTTTTCGCTATGAAGAACTTGTAATATGTTGAATGTTACTTAAGTTTCTAATTGTACATCCATACCTTTTAGGACTCTTTTCATTCTGTAAATTCAGGGTATTTTTTGTACTAAACCCATGATTTTGTTATTAATACAGTAAATATCATATATAGAACTATACTATGTACTATTTTAGATTTACAATTATAAATATATATTTTTGTAGAAATTGATTATAGGCTTATACAATAATACTGTTAAACAATATAAAAATAAAATTTATGTCTAAAAATATAAATTTCTGTTAATGATTTAAGTAATTTAGTGATAATTTTTTTTAATAAAAATAAAAAATCATAGGTTCAAATCGCATAACATGCAAGCAATAGCAAAGCCAAAAATATTTTTTAAGGGGGCAAAAAAAAAAATTTGATTGTGAAATGGTGTGTTTGTATATAAATTGAATTAAAAGTTGATCAAGGAGAAAAAAAATTTTTAAAAAAAATTATAAAAAAATATTTCTTTTTATGAAAATAAATAATATTTATTAATTTTTAACAATAAATTAATAGTGGTTGATGAAGTAATACAAATGTAATTAATTAAAAGACAAAATAAACATATCTAATGAGTAAAAGAACACTACAATAAAAGAAAAGCAAAAGGTTATTAATAAAGATTTGTAAAAAGATTATATTAAATAATTTTTAATTCACTTAATCTACATTTTTTTTTCATTTTTTATTATCTATGTTTTCCCCTTTTTTTTCATTATCACTTAAAAGTAATATTCAATAATAAAAAATAAATAAAATGATAAGTAAATTACTTAGGATAAAAATAGTAAAATAAAATTTATATGCCAAACTTCTAGGTTTTCAAAAGGTTAGGGGAGCTTGAGGGGCTCAGGCGGCCTTAACTCTGCCAATGAATAATGAGATAAGTTATGAGACGAAAAAAAATTGTCCTATATTATCTAATTTAAAATAAATAAAAAAATATAAATTTATTGACTAAAAAATAATCTTATTAATATTTAAAAAACTATGTTCATTGTTGATATTTAAATTTAATCGATTAACTTGCATGGGGCAATACAATTTTTAAGAAAGTGGAAGGGAACCCTGTTTTTTTCATCCTTAATCATCAGACCTTTACCTCAGTAAAAATGTCTCATCCAAGTCTCACCTCACTGGCTCACTCCCAAAAGCTGCCAAAGCCTTTCCTAATGTTGGAGAACACTTTTCGGTGCTCTAATTTTTTAATTTTTATTATTTTAAGCATATAAAATATTAATTAAAATAAATATAAAATATATTAAATATATTTATATATTTTAAAAATATTAAAAATTAAAAAAAATTATAATTGTAATTATATATCAATATTATTAAACTCAATATTTTTTTTAACAAGTTTACAATTTAAAGAAGAGATTGAAACTCTAACTTAAAAATTAAAATATGCATCTTACAAATCAATTTATAATTATTAAACAATGAAACTCAAGTGCAAACTAAATATTTTTTAAAAATTTTATCAACTAAAATTTAGAAAAATTAAGAAAAAGACATTATAAAATATCAACTTAATAGATTCTTATTTAAAAAGATTAAAATAAACTATAACAGCCAAAGAATCTCCACAAAGACTTGTTGCCATCTCTAGCTGGCTTGGCTTTCTTTCCTTGTACGACTAAACTCAATTTTTTTGTATTTTTTGTTAACTGATTCAAACAGTTGAGTTTAGAAGAAGCGAGATGAATTTGTTGCAGAAGCAAGAATAAAAAACCAAGGATTCAGAGCATGTTTG